CCCCAACTCAATTTTCACCCGCTTATAGATATTCGTAGGTATTCCTGCATGAGAGCTGGACAATTCTTAGAGACGATATTTAGAAGGTGTGGTATGAACGATTTTGAACAAGCTAGGTACTCTATCCTCGGTACTTCTGTGGTGTAGGTGGGGGGCACCCTACAATGGCGCCCAATTTCAGGAGTATACCCTCTCTCACCAAGTTGCTAGTAAAAGGCAAAGAGGTTGCGAGTTAGTAGGAAAGTGGTCAACTGTTCGGGAGGATGGGGATGGAGTAGCTTAGTTGTAAAATTAGAATAGGCTTTCATTAAAATTTCGAATTACCTTGCTTAGAGAGCGTAGACTGCAAAAAATGAGCGCCGCCAACGGCTTCCTCGGCTGTGGAGGCTCTCTACTTTTCAGATGTATAAAACTGACCGATAATTGAAATGAATCTCACGTTGTGCTGCCAGAAGCGGGAAGATAGCGAACTTGGGTACTGGAACCATTCCTAGAAAAAGGTTGTATTATAGAATGCAGGACACTTGAGGGCAAATTCTGGGATAAGGACTAGTGTATAAGGGCGCACTACAGTGATAGATGAGCTGCAAATGCACCAAAAGTGGAAACGAAAGCAAGAAAAGTCATCGCAAAAGCTAAGATTAGGGCCCTGACCTTCAAGCAATTACGGATGTAGCGCAGCGGCGAAACAGAGCATGCGAGACGGCACGCCGTTCGAGATCGCGCTGATCTCCACATCGAGGTGCGGTGGGTGGGAAGCGTTGCAATAAGGGCAATGGTTGCCAGGTCTTACCGACATATGGGCGGCGCTAACGACTGATCGTATGGCGATGCGTGGCAACGGCTCTCTGTAGGCGCAAGGACGAGTGACAAGCCGTTCAGCGTATTCTTCTTATTTGTTCGGCGGGCTAATCCGGGAGACTTTCCGTTAATCAGATTCGCTGGTCGGGATTGTAGCCGGGTCTAGTCTGGTGACCTCTTGCACAGTCAAGGGAAGTCACTGTCTTCTGATATTTGGTAGTTCACTCATTTTCTGTGTTCCACGCCACTCCGTTCACCTCCCCTCCCTCCCAGTTGGTCTTGACAGGAAATTCTGAGTGCGCCGATTAAATCCGGAGGTGCTCTTGGAAATTATGAAAGGGTGAGCCTCATCTAAAATGGATTTTTGTCAATTTTGAAATTTGTAGACGAATCCTAACAGACTCTGGGAGACGAACTTCAGGCTAAGGCCACTGGGGAGGGGGAGCGGAAGGACGCTTCCACTCTCCACTACTGTTTCTTAACAAGAAGTGATGAGGGGAAACAATTTAGCAGATACGATGACTTGTCAAAGGATTTGTTTGAACTTCTTTGCATCCGCAGGCGAGATTAAATTGTACACGGTGAACGGCCTTGATGCTCTCAGTGGGACTCGATTCTTGTATCCAATGATGAGCGCGCACAGCTCACCAGTGCTATTAAATTTTTTTCAAACCTTATCGCCAAACAGCTCCTAGGGTGCCGACAAAGTCGGTTGATGATTCAGATTCTAGATGTGTAGCATGGGAAACTGGGATAGTCATGGCTCATTAGGAATGTGATTCATCGCTAGCTCAAAAGAGTTGAAACCATATAGTTTGAGGTAGAGGAAGTGATTACGATAGGGAAGGGCCGCATCTGGGAAGAATGCGCTACACGAAGCAGTGGGTACCGGACAGGAGGCCCGTCGCGCGGCAAGAAGGCAGAGTCAGCGGACGAGTCGCAGCGCGTGATGTGCGATGTAGGACGTACAATGGTACATTCTATTTAACTTGACGCGAAATCACTACAGTACGCGCTGCGACTCGTCCGCTGACTCTGCCTTCTTGCCGCGCGACGGGCCTCCTGTCGGGTCCCGAAGCAATTAGTTGCCGTGTTGCCATGAGCACAGTAACTGGAGCAACTTGACTGGAGCGTGCCTCGTGCCACCAAACGCATATCGGTGAACTCGTCCATATATCAGCAGTGTCCCCCAGGAGGCCCGTCGCGCGGCAAGAAGGCAGAGTCGCGGACGAGTCGCAGCGCGTGTGCGATGTAGGACGTGCAATGGGACATTCTATTTAACTTGACGCGAAATCCCTACAGTACGCGCGCGACTCGTCCGCTGACTCGCCTTCTTGCCGCGCGACGGGCCTCCTGGGGGGTACCCAGCAGTGTCAAGCGCTGCCTGTCCTTGAATGGAGATGAACATACAAACAAGGTGGTCCCTTTTCGCGTTTTCTCGACGGATTTCTCTGCTTTTTCGCCATTGGCGTACCATTGAGCACCTACACATTTCCTGTAAATTCTTCTAGAACCTACCGTAATCGCTGCCTTTAGAGAAAGTTTGGTCAGCTATTAGTTTCCTGGAAGCCACACTAACAAGGGAGGTCTTTCAGGGCAAGCCGCGCTTTTTGGAAACGGTTTCTTGCATATTGTAGGGACGCATGTATGGACCACAAAACCATGTTTCGTTTTCGCTGAACGGTTTTAGTAGTACCAAAAAAGTGGTGAATGATACCTTGATGGTTCAATCCCCCGCGGCGACTAAATTTTGCAATCAAGGTTGGCGGCCACTTGTTGGCTTCAAAATGGTCCTGACGATGAATATGACATCTGATTTTGACATTTAGCGCGATTTGGCACCAACCGTAGGCGCCAACCCAAATGCAAAATTTAGTCGCCACGGGGGATCGAACCCTTAACAGTACCTTATGCTTCTTTTTTGGTACTGCTATAACCGTTCAGCGAAAATGAAACATGGGTTTTGTGTTCCCTACATGCGTCCCCTACAATATGCACAGAAACCGTTCATGCGTGGCTTGCCCTGGAAGATCCCCTCGCAAGTTCTCCCCTCACGCAAATATTTGGAAGCAGGTAGAAAATGCATTGAATTGAGAAATAACATACGGGATGCAGCAATTACTCACGTTAGCGTATGCATGTTTTATACCAAGCCATCGTACATGCCAACGACGTGTCTTGCGTCGCCTGTGGGATTTTCCTAATCTAACAAAGCTCATATATGGCTCCTCGTGTTTTGGGTTATCTCTGCTCTCAACTTTATCCATTCCACAGAGTGGGGCAAAATTCTGGTGTACCAATATTGTGTTGGCATTTAAAGACTAGCTTTCAGAAATCAATACTAACCACGAATATTATTTATCGATCCAAGAGCTATCGATTCAAAACGTATTTGACAGTGTTCCAAATAATTCGCCCTCTAGCCTTTACAACACGGTTTTTGAAAGTTATGGCATCACTTATAGCGTGTGGCACGCAGGCATTTTTCATCAATATCATCCCAGGGCTCTAAAAGCGCCGTTATGAGAAGGTTCAAAATTGGGCATTTGATCGAGAAAGACTTTCGCCTGAAGGTCAGCCCATGCTTGAAAATGTATCGGTCTAATCCGGAGAACTGGAGAGCCATTCGTCGTAAATGATGGAGTTGGGGGTTTGCTCGGTGCACTTCCTGGACCAGGTCTCGATCAGTGTCCTGGAGCAAAGCCTTTGCTGATCACCCGTAGTCCTCTCCAAAGGAAAGGCACGCTCCTAGTTTAGAACAAATACCAAAATTGAACGCTATTTGAACAAATTTGGGGATTAGAAAAAATGGTCGACGCCTTCGCAAAGCGCTCAGTTGCAGGTTGATTGCTGCACTTCGCAAAGCGGAAGGCCTAACCACTTTGGGATCAGTGCGTATTAGTAGCAGCACGTTCAAGCAACATATCATGAAGAAGCAGGCGGAATAATCAGCAACAACGATTGAAGGAACCCATTGCATGTTGGGTTTGCACCACCCTGTAAAGTTAAATACTTCGATTCACTATATGTTAGGTCGGCCCGTAATTTTAGACCCTTAACGCTGGCCTATCCGACCGACTAGCCAACCTCATGCGCATTGTTGCCTTCTTTTAGCTAGGACTCCAATTTCTCCCAAAACCTACTGAGCATCTTTCCAGATGACCACCGATTAGGATGTTCCGCGCGCCGGGAGTCATGGAGGATTAACCAGAAGATAGGAGGGCAGGCTCTCTCAGCCTAAGGTGCACGAGTGTTTACCTCTACTCGGTTTCCTTCTCTAACTTGAAGTTTTCTTTTTTGAAGAGAACGACTGTGTTCTAGCCTACGCCAGCCGATTAAATTTCATCCGATATCTAATGTGTCGTGCAAATTCCAAGAAGCTAGGGAGAGGTCCTAATCACCTATTGCGGAGTGGCTCAAAAACGAAACAAGACCGCGAAAACGTCGCGAAATGGAGGGCTAACTCTCTTCCCAAGTATTTCGGAGAACGCGGAATAAATGGTTGCTACTCGCCAGGAATCAGGTGTCATGGTCCATGTGTTCCATGCTGATGAGACCTGCTACCCGAACTTTCACTATATTATCCGAGTATCGAGGCCGAGGGCGGAAGTGGTGTAGTGACAAGTGGCGCGCTTACCACGCGAGCGGTCCGGGGATCAAATCCTGGGTCGTGAGTCGCCCGGGCCAACCAAGCCTTCCATCCCTCCGGGGTCGGTTAATTGGTACCAGACTTGTCTGGGAGGATAAAAACACTGACTTGTACATCGGCTGGCCCCCGCAAGTCATTGTATAGGCCACATCGCATTCAAACGCCACTACGAATGTACAAATGGAAGTAGAATGCGTGCCGCATCCCAAAGGGATTGATCAACGGCAAATGCTTTATCCTTATTTATTTTATTATCAGAGAAGTGAGTAGTTATGAAGGTAAGGTTTGGTATAAAGACAACTAATGCGGCACTGTTGCAATTTGACTCTTTGCTTGAATTTCAGGGATCAGTCTGAAGCTCCCCCTTCGTTTTCATTGTACGAATCGTTGTGCGAAAGTAATAATCGATTCCGTAATAAAGTGAATGTTAGCTACAATGATAACCTTGACCCCTCATAAACAGCCTTGTGGTAACTCAAATGCACTAAGCTCTTTAAGAATCGTCGAGCTGAAAAGTTTCATTCACCACAAGAAAAGTGCACGAATTCAATCAATTCGCCGATTGACATAACTTCATCTCATTGCAGAAGTAGCCAGTAGGACAAGCTGAGCATGGCGTGCCTCTCTCGTAAACGGCATCATCGACCATATTTCCTCTGAAAAATCTCAACTGATGTGGTTTCGATATGGCGACGAATACAGAGGCGGGATGACCGTACCCCTCATAGTAGTGGCACGCCACAAACCATGTACTTCCACAATTTTCAGAAACAGCACACCCTATCGTTTTGGTGGTTGCCCATGCCATCTGAAATTCAAAACGGCCGCCTGATGAAAAACTGTGTCGGAAGGAAAAATAGATGAAAGAGGAAGAGAATCTTTGTTGCACAGAAATTGTTTTGAGGATTAAAGAGTTCCTCTTTGTAACAGACTTACAAGAGATGATTGTCAAAAGGCAAGCCGCCCCTTTCGGAAGTGGTTAAAGTGTATATTGTAGGGACGTATGTACGAACCACAAACCATGTTGCTTTTTCGCTCTGAGCGACGTTAGTAGTATCAAAAAGTGGTGAATGATACCCTTGTTGGTTCGATCCCCCGCGGCGACTAAATTTTGCAATCAAGGCTGGAGGTCACTTGTTTGCTGCAAAATGGTCCTGGCGATGAATAGAATCATAGTCGGCTTTGATATTTAGCGCGATTTGGCACCAAACCGTAGGCGCCAACCAAATGCAAAATTTAGTCGCCACGGGGGATCGAACCCTTAACAGTACCTTATGCTTCTTTTTTGGTACTGCTATAACCGTTCAGCGAAAATGAAACATGGTTTTGTGTTCCCTACATGCGTCCAATGTGCACAAAACGGTACGCTCAACGTAGCCGCTTGCCCAATAAGCCCCCCTTGTTAACCAGAAAAGCAGTATCTGAGCCAGGTCGATGTTGATGTCGTTAACTAACCAGAGTGAAATATCTGATCGGGCTGCTTTCATGTTTCGCTCTAAATATGACTTTCATTCCAATTCCATCGACGAGTCTCACTTGCTTCCACCAATACCTGGCCGCCTAAATACCACAAAACTCTGAATATTGGGTCGATTTCGGCTGAACTAAGCAAACCTCTTTCATAGCATCAACACGATACCGGGCCATCGACTTCGCAACGCTGTGGATATTTTCTTTGACACCGCTTGGAAGTGATGTTGATGGGGCGGTCGTACATCTGTCAGCCGCTTCTCTAGCTGACGTTTCAAGTGAACAGTTATAAACCTGACAAAAATACGTCTAAGGACCTCTTGCTAAGTGTGATGAAGGCAAATTTAGAGTCAGGGTTCCATCATTTTCCAGAACAAAATGTTAATGTTATGAAAAAAAGGAAGGCATACGATTAAATATTCATCATGCAGCTGCTAACTCAAGAAGGAAAGAAAACCCTAATAATCATTCACGATCAATTCCACCCCAAAAATAGCAATAAATGAATTTTCTAGGTATATATTGTAAGGCTGTCTTGTAGGTAGAAGAGGGGACATTTCGGTCCACATTGTTTCTGCAGATTACAGTACTCTAAGTTGTGAGGGAAATGAATCTCCTTGATCGCGTAACCAATTCCCCTGTGCAAAAAACAAATACGGTGATATCACTTCCCGCCTAGTTTACAATTACATTTATTTCCGTTATTCATCTGACATAAACAGAGAAACGGGCCATGATCTGGAACCATTCAGAAGTCGTCACCGTGTTCTGCCAGTCTGCTCCCGCGAACATCTTGAAATCGTCTTCCCACCGCACTCGTGGTCGTCCAACTGATCTGCTTCCACAGGGCTTCCAATTCATCAGCCGCACTTCCCATCGCGTCCTGTCTCTTGTCATTAACTTATTTGCGTAAATCCACTTGCGCTTTCTGGCTTCGATGACAGCGTCTTTCAGTTTGGTCCTTGCTCGTATTGCTACGCTCGATACCTTATCGCGAAGTCGGAGGTCTAACATTTGGCGCTCCATCCGTCGTTGGCATTTTCTTATACGATCCTCTGCTGCTTTGGTTAGGGCCCACGTTTCACATCCATACAGTAGAGTTGGTATCACACATGTGTGGAAGAAGCGTCGTTTGGTCATCAGTGGCGTCATTCTGCTTTTCAATAGGGCTCGAACTTTTCTGTTGATGCTCCACGCAGCGCTGATTCTCCGGCTGATTTCTTGTCCACGATCCTGAGGGAAACATATGAGTTGGCCCAAATACACGAAGGAAGATACCAGCTCAATTTCTTCTCCGTTGGCTCTGAGATGCTGTCCATTAGGGTTGCTGGACATCCACTTTGTTTTGCTTGTATTCACTTCAAGTCCGGCCACTTTCGTCGCACCAATGAGTTTATTGAGCATGCTTTGTAGTCCATCGACCGTTGGCGAACACAGGAAAATATCGTCAGCGTAGGCGAGATAGCTGAGGTGATACTGCTCAATGGGGTAACCCTGGCCATCCCAGTCAATGTCATCAAGGCACGATTGCAGAGTCAAAATGAACAACAGAGGAGATAACGAATCGCCTTGTCTGACACCTCGTTGAATTTTGATCTCCATCTCTATCGAGTCCAGGGCCAAAAACGATCGTCCAGCAGCGTACAGCTGTTTTATCATTCGAACTGTGCAGTCATCTACTTTGAACTTATCCAAAGCTTTCCAAATTGCTTCGTACTCGATTGTATCGAAAGCTTTTCGGTAGTCAATGAAGACCATGTGAAGCGGTTTCCTCCATTCACGACATTTCTCAATTAGTAAGTTGACGGACATGATGTGGTCACGGGTGGAGAAGCTACGTCTGAATCCAGCTTGTTCTTGTGGAACGAACTCCATAACCACTTCTTCCACACGACGAGCCAGCGCACGGGTAAGAACTTTAAGGACAGTTGACAATAGGGAGATTGGTCTGTAGTTGCTGATGTTCAATGGGTCACCTTTTTTGTATAGGAGGATGGTTTTGGCTTTGACGAAATTTTCAGGGAACTGGTTAAGCTCGAAATGTTGATTTATTTCTTTAGCAAGGTCTTCCGCACATACAGGTACTAGATACTTCGTTACTCCAGATGGTATTCCGTCGGCACCAGGTGCAGTGTTTCCACGAATTCTGCTACATGCTTCACGGAGTTCGTCTGCTGTTACCGGGCGTCTCAACGGGCCTGTCGCAGAGAAGACGTATGGACCATTATGGGATCGGTAGAGGTCGTTGTAGAATGCAGCTGTAATGGCCGCAGCTTCTTGTAAAGTTGTCGTCAGGGCACCATCAGGACACCGGAGTTGGTTTATTTGTCGACGTTCATACGTTAATTCGTGTCGAGCACGCCTTATCTTCAATTTGTCTATTGCATTTTGCATGACACGGTCGTTGTACTTGCGAAGATCGTCGGTAAGTGACCATCTAACTTGTTTGCACAACAATGAGTAGATAACAAAACTTATTGATCCATTTGCGAATCCAAACTTTTGCTTTCTTCTTTCTGCCATTAGCGCCATTGTTCTAGCAGAGATTCGTTCCACTCGTTGCTGTGGTATTTTTAAAGCCATACAATTATTTGCTGCCTCCACGAAGCTGGGGATGTCGAAGCCGCCCGCCGGACGAGGCTGTGCTGCCATTGCAGCCTGCAGCTTAAGCTTGTCAAAAAGTGGAGGTAATGGTCTTGACTTCTGCTTAAAATAGGCAGGCTTCATACACATCGCCAGAGTAATTCGCACCATGCGGTGGTCACTCCCAATATTGCATCCAGAAAGTGTTGAAACGTCACGAACATACTTCAGATTCTTGCACAGAACATGGTCTATTTCATTGCGAGTGTTCCCATTTGGACTTCTCCACGTCCACTTTCGTCCGAATCTTTTCTTGAAAAACGTGTTGGCCACAATTAGATTATGTGCAGCACAGAATGAAAGTAAAGCGACACCTCGTTCATTTCGGTCACCTGTTCCAAAAGGCCCACACGTAGACTCTTTGTTTCTTGAACGTCCAATAATTGCATTGAAATCTCCGCAAATGAGCTCTGCTGTACTTCTCGTCGCTAGCCATGCAGCTTCTACTTCATCCAAGAATTGTTCGAACTCATCGTCTGGTGCCGCAGAAGTCGGGGCGTGTACTTGAATGATGCTGAGGCGTCTCCTTTTTATAAGGAATTCGGCTTGGATCACACGTTCGCTGATGTAACGGATGCCAACTAGCCTTTTGTTCATCTGTAAGGACATATACAGCCCTACACCAGCATACGTCGGGACATTGTCGCTTCGTCCACTGTTATAAAGTACAAAACCAGATCCAAAATGAGTGCACTCACGGTTCGGTCTTCGAGTTTCAGCCAGTCCAAGTACAGAAAACTTCACGTTCTTGACATTGGCTTCGAAATCCGCGAGTCGTTGTTGAGAACATATGCCTCGGACATTGACGGTGGCTATCTTCATATAGGTTCTTGCACGGGAATCGCTACTGCCGGCTGGGTTTGACGGCGAAGTCATCGTTGGCAGGAAACCAACCGTCTGCGGGGGAGGTAGACGATGGAAATGCTACGTAATAACCCGCTATTGTTGTAATGTGAATGGAACGGTTCCGAACGCTACGATTGCTCGCCACAAAATACTACTTCTGAAAGGCACCGGCGCGAGCAAATGTGTGGATATGCTTGAAAATTAGACAAAAACGCGACGAGGATTGTTGAAGGAGAAAGAAGAAAAAAGGCGCAATAGAGAAGCCCTCCTCGTGAAAGTTGAGCGAGTTAGCGAGGCACGGCGCAGCGATGAGACACACCGAACCGTGTACGGGACTTTCGGCTCGTCCGGCGGCGTGCGCAGCGGTCAACCCTATCTGTTGCTTACTTTTTGAAATTTTGTTTACGAAGTTCCCCTCCCCAAGGGGAAACCTGATACACCCCCCGTTTCCACACCCTTGACCACCAACTGCTTCGTCTCTACAAGTATCTCAGTCCAGAACATCATACGCCATCAACACTCCGCCCACTTTTTCCTCCAAAAATGCCGTCGAGCGAGGAGAAATACATATACGCGCGCTGAAACGGCAAATTTTTTCTCCTGCGCCCCTCAACTCACCCAGCCTACCTACCCATAAAAACTTCAGTTTCACCTCAAACTCACATGTGATTTCAAGCGACTGAAACGGGTACGACCCCCCCCTCCTACAAACTCAACCAAGTACGACCCCCCCCGTTGTTACTAGTAACAACGTAGGGTTGACCCTGCTCCCTTCAGCGCGGGTAATGCGCCTATGCGCGGCGACTAGACGGTTTGTGAACTAGTGGGTACCCGGGAGAGCTTGCGAATAGGAGTCGTGCCTCCTTCAAGCAGCAAATGTCTCTGAGTATCTGATCGCAACCCGTTCCTTCAACTATGTGGGTGCTTACTTTGGTTTTGATAAGGATTTCAAATTCGATTGAAAACAAATTATTTGTCACAATGGCTTACAAGTTTGAACATGTTCGCTGCTTTTGGAAGATACCTGCCGGTATTTTTTCTCACCCATCCTTGCGCAAGTCTTGATCTGAAAATCGAATGATGCTGTTGTAGATGATGAGACTGCGAGACTGGCTGAATTATAAAGTAAGAACTACAGCCTACCTTCGATAATTATGGGCCTCAGTAGCTATAAGTCTGATTCTGTCGTTCATACCAGGGTTAGCTGGGCAGATCTGATTAATTGCTGAAATTCGACAATGTAAGAGATTGAAAATTTTGATAGGTGCTGATTTAAAGAAGGATTCCACAATAATAACGAAGTTCGAAGAAGGGGAAAGCTGCATAATTGAGAAACAGGGATCTCTTGCCCGGGCGCTGCCGAGCGCAATTGGCAGCGAAAGATTTGATCTCGGCGATCTAGCACAGCTCAGACTTGTCGAGGTTGGCGCGGAACGCCCACCGACTACCTGATCGCTCTCCCCAGGTCTATACGCGGTGAGTGATTAGATAGCAGAGAGAGTGTTAGTGTTGAAGAAGGCATAGCGATGAATTTGCATCAAGTACTGAAATCAACGGGCAAGCAAGGGGTCCCATTTTGAGGTTTCGGGCCTTTTTACGTGGTTCTTCCTTCTTCATCCCTGCCCAAAATTGCCCGGCATTCTGCCCTTTTTCCAATAAACTACCTTTTCATCGTAAAACCCACTCATTGCGCATTCTCAATGAAGTGAATGCGGCTACCCAGAGGCGAATCTCACAAGAAACCTGGCAGGATCAACCTTCGAGATGGACAAGAGATATCTCCTCACGGAGGTCGCAGATGTGCTGCCTTCAGAAATGCGCAGCTAGAAGCCCAGCACTGCCTGCAAAAAATCACCTGCTAGAAATGTGCATTTCTACAGTTACGGTTGTCGTTTTCGCCATCCCTTTAGGCTTTCTCTGAGTCCCTTCCACTCCTCGATACATAAACCAGGGACTGTTGAAAACTGCTACATGTGGACTGACTGCGGAGTAAAAGGTAGTGATTGTAGTCCGTAATCTGCTCGTTCTCGTTCGCCTTCTCCTGACGGTTTGCAGTCATGGCCCTTATCTGAAGTAAACGGAGGCTTCCCCCATTGCCCGACGTTTTTCAGAAAATAGATCAAGGGCAGGACAAGGTGGCCTCGAAGCCACATGCGGACAGGTTGGTAAGGCCACTTTTATACCGCTCGACTAGGTTCTCGTACTGTACCGGATTAGCCAAGCACCTTTCCGAAATCATTCCAGCGAAGGGCCCATTCAAGAACGTGAACCCCAGAATGTTAGGTTGGGGGCGTAATTATAGCACGCTTTTGAGACAAGAGCGTGGCTTCACCTCTGCGGTTGCGCATACACTCACAGACTTGATGGAAGCTCGGCCCCTGCCTTCAGGGCATCACCGTCTGGAGTTACTTCCTCATCTATCATCGGCTATAGGAATTCTGCTACTAAACCCATACAGTAATGTCGATTACGAATTAAGTGGCCATGGCCAGCAGGCGTTTTCGCTGAGCAATCTGAAGCCCGCCATGTATGTCCTGAGTTGGCGTGCAGATCTGGGCTAATCGTCAGATTGGGCACGATGTCGTGCGGTGATCACTTACACACTACACGGTATCACACAAAGAGGTCCCAATCCATCAGTGACATTTGTTGCAGCGTTTTCACGACCTAACGCCTCTTTCGCTTTTGGAATGAGCCATGCCTTCTTCTTTCGTGCGGGAATGTGATGGCATTTCTATGCAGTTTGGCCATTACAATTACTCACAGGGGCTAGCTAGGCGATGTACAACTCAATGTGTCTATTCTCCCAGATAAGTGTTTTACCGACTCACTGACCCTGGAAACAGGTGGAATACATATTTAACCAAGCAGAGTGCGATCCAGGATATAAACCTCAGACCGTGCGCCTGCTCGGCAGGCTGCACCTACACTACTCCTGCCCTAAGACCTTTCCAGGTGTCCTGTGTTCCGCCGCTCATAATACTATTCCCGAGAAGAGAGCGAGCAAGGATAATGCGATAGATGGGATCTAGTATTGCCTCAGTGAAAATTGGTCAAAAAGTTTGGGTCACTTAAGTCCTTCTTCCAAGCTATTCTTCACAAACTAACCTGGATTCGGATTCGCATTGGTGGCGGTCGTTGTCTGTGCGCTTGTACTAGATTCAGATGATTCGCTGGTGCTCGAGCTCTCTGTTGTTGACTCGGAAGCTGTACCCGAAGTACTTGAAGTATCACTTGTTGAAGCTGCAGCTTGGTTGAAGGACAGTTGGCTGTTGAAGCTGTCCACGCCTGGTTGAAGCAGTATCGCTTGTTGAAGCTGTCCCGCTCGTTGATGCTGTATCGCTTGTTGACCCCGTTGACGAGCTTTGTTGTTGTTGTTGTTGTTGTTGAGCATTTACTGTTAATGAGACCTAAATGATAAACTGTCGCCAACGTTAATCAGATTAAGAAAGCAGAAAAATCGAAAAAATACCGCCAAAATGAGGCAAATAAACAGGCGTAGTGCACGTGATGCCAACATCTTGATATCGGGTTGTCCATGCTACTGATTGTGCCATTTAAATACCAGCTAGATCTCTGCTCAATAGCCCTTTGACAATAGATTTCCAGTGTTGAATAGGCACAGAAAATCCGTAGCACTTTCTATTTGGTCAGTTCAATAAAACTACTGTAAAAAAATGCTTTTACTCGTTGCTTAAATATTGACGATATTATTGAAGGTAGAGAACCATTGTCTCACTTATGAAAATCAACTATTTTTTTATTAATTATTTGCCACCATCTGCCACGTTTGGCGTAGGATTCACTATTCACAAACTGTGATGTACGCTTTAGTATCGCGCAAAACCACTTTTCACTTTTACTGAGGAAAGTCGGGTTACTTCTGTTTCTTTTGGGAAAGTTACCACCCATTTTCCCAAACGAACCAGACATAAGCTCGAGGGTCAAAAATTGTTGACATTCTGGCCGTGGCCTGTTGCTAACACAAAGGAGACAAGCAACATGTGAAAGATGGCATTATTGTATTGACACCAAAGTCGGGGTCTCCTTTTATTCGCCAGAGTTGGTTGTGTTGTTGTTATCGTTGTAGTTGTTGCTGCTGTCCCTGTCGTTGTTTTGTTGTTGTTGTGGTTGATTGTTGTTGTCCCCACTTCGTGTAGGCCCTAAGCATAGTATTGTGAAGTGTAAAAGATCCAACGCCTACCTGATTTTCTTTTGTTTCAGTTTTTAAGCATACCAAATTGGCTCACCTGTCCAGAAAACTTAGCCAAATTAGTCAAAACATTACCCCATCATATCCTCCGCTCTTGCCTTTAATCCACTCTTTTTCATGATCTACCCCGTCCTAGTCCAACATATAGTTGGCAAATTTTTATTTGTTTACTAAAACACCACAAAGATGTGTCCACAAACAGTTAATCAAAAAATAAAACATGAAACACGCTAGATTCACAACATCAATCATGCTTATAAGGATATCCAATGAGCCGGAAATGATACACTCAGGTAATCTCTCGCTCCTCGATCCACCACAGTTAGTTGTTAAAGTTGTTAGGAGAACGGTAATCGCGATCAGGTAGTGCGAAAGAAGTATCCGTAGACTGAGTGACTATTCAAAAGCTTCATAACCACGTAAATCACGATATCGGAAGTGAGCTGTGTTATGAGATCTAGTGCGTTAAACGAGATCGTCGACGGTATATGTGCTCATTTTCTTCGTATTTGCTGTTCGAGTCATAGAATTTTTTGCAATGCTGGATCCTTTGATTTTGCTTTGAACTTTGTCATCTTACTAAAGGAATCTCCTGGAAGCATCGGAATAACTTCACGCATCGATGAAGGAGGGAATTGGGGAAACACGAATTTTTCGAGACCGAGTATGTAATAACCGAACCTAGACACTCTTCTTCGGCATGGTCTGAATGCACCAAATTTGCGAGGTCGATTTTTCTTTCGAGCTTCCAATGAATACCACACGAAGCTTGCTAATTAATTCACGTTCAAAAGATTTCCGAGAAAACGGCGATCTTTCGATTAGTTTGGCTTGAGCAAAATTGGAAGCAGGAATGCAAGCCGCTGTTCAGCAAAGGCGACGTGCTCAGTCCTGTCTCTCCAAGAACTATGCTTTCCAAAAATTCCAAAATGGTTCTAAGGTAGTACCAGCATCAGGCGCACTTTGACAGGCCGGCTATAGAAATCATCGCAACAAAATGCGCTCATTATTCGCATAAGAAAACTGTAAATGCTAGACGTCACCTAAAAGCGCTCATTGCCCCTGCCCAATTTCTGTGGTTACAAATATTAAGTTGTTGCAACGTAAATGTCGCACAGATTTACTTCCACCCCACTGGGCATTTATTCTTAATTTTTGTACCTCTGAGGTGTTTGTGCATGTGCAAGGAGGAGATTAAAGAGTAGGTTCCATGACATCTTTAGGAGCTGCTACCCTCTCATCCGGCCCCGGCGGAGTCTTTCAAACGAAACGAGTCTCAAATGAAACCATGTATTGGCTTAGCAAGGAAGAAAAACGATGATTTCATGCACTCACCTCATGACGATCAAGGCTACGACCACGAAAAAAATCATCGGTAGAAAGGAAGCTCACGCTCACTCGAGACCTTTGAAGATACGGGGGCACTCTCTAGAACTATACGTAGGGCAGGAAATCGGGAAACCCAGCAGCAGTGCCGAAAAGTCAGTCGCCGATTCCACGTGTTCGGCCTGAGAGTGATGTTATCCCTAGCATCATCCTCACCCTCGAGATTGAATTTTATATTACGGATGCTTTCTTCAACCACAAACAGCCCTTAGTCACTTCTGGACTTTTTGAAAGCCATTGACTTTGCTCTACGTTTATTTTTCTTTGACTTCTGAGTGGAGATCTTCCTACCACTTGTTTTGATCATAATTTGACCACGTTTGACTCAGTTTGTTGGATCCTTAATTGATTAAAGGACGAATTCACGCTGGAAAGGCAACCCATTTCAAATTAAGTTAGCGATGGTGAGTGGTACACTAAAGAAGGAAAAACCATGCGAAACGGCCCAGAACCTGAGAAATGGGACCACTTCCTTGCCCGTTGATTTGAGCATTGATGCGACTATCATCGCTGTGCCCTCTTCAACGCTACGCTCTCTCACCTATCTAATCACTCACCACGTATAGACCTGCGGCGAGTGATCAGATGATCGGTGGGCGTGCACTGACCAGCCGCGGCGGGATTAAACCTTAATAGGTCAACGAGGTCAACTCCTCCTGTGCAAATTGTGCTTCAGTTCGCACACTTAGGAGCTCCGCGGGTCCCTCAACCAGGTGAATTCTTCCTAATTCGATTTTCCCTCTGAGATCTCGCCTTAGTCATTGTTAGTGATGCACCTAAGTTTCCTAATTTTCATATGTTTTACTGCGGAATCAACTCATATTTGAATGCCATATCATGGCCTAACTGTATTCTTCACCTGTCATACTCCACCTCCTCAATCTGCTTCATCAGATCGTCGCGCCATCGAGTGTAAGATGTTCCTCGTTCTATCATTGCTTTAGCGTAATCGAACGGGAATCCGTCCTTATTCTTGGTCGGCGTCCATTCCTTTTCGTCCAGATTCACAGACCGTTTCCGGCCCATAAGTATTTTTCTTCTTGCTCCCTTAATTCGTCCATTTGCTGAGCATCGTATGTGATCTTGTTCTTTCATTGCTCTACCGATCTAGCACTGTCAACCTCAGCATCTTTTCTTTCCATCTTCCTTTGTTTTACGGCCAATTGTGCCATGTCCGACTTTCGAATCGACCAGGTCTCCATTCATAAAGCACTGATGACGTAACACAGGACTCGAATGCTCGTTTCTTGAGAGGGAGGGGAATGGCCCGGTTGCAAAGGATATACTCGAGCTTTTTGAAAGCATTCCAGCCGAACTGAATTCGGTGTGCAAGTTCGGGATCGGCTGAGGAGGAATGAGAGACGGACAGCCAAGGAAAAGGGCGTGATCAACAGAGTTTGTAAAGCCTTTGCATTAAAACAGATTGGGTTACTGCTAATTGATAACGCTAGCTTTTCAGGGTTGAGCAGAAGTCCGACTTTAGCAGATGCATTCGTCAGAAGTTGTAGCATTTCTTCGAGCGTAGAACGCGATGAAGCCAGTAGCGTAACGTCATCTGCATACTCAAGACTGGAAAGTAGCGTGCCTCCAATCCCTAGTCCACATCTTCCCCAGTCTACAGAATCGCGAACCAAATAAATAAATAGTGTGTAAAAGTGTGCACCAAATAAATAAACAAATAAGATTCTTATTGATGGAAAAGAATGCCGATGCTCTGCATGAGGAATACGAAGAGTTACATAATAAGGTAGTATCCATCTCTTGAAGGTGCCGAGTTGTTGCTGTTCCAACAAATTTTTTGTGCACCCAGAACGACATTTATTTTGTGGCAACCTAACAGTCTGTGAAGGCTATAGAGGATTAAGCGACTTCGTCGTAAAAGTTCTCTCGAATTAGGACTCTGAACTCAAGATCGCGCGAAACCCAAGCTTCACTGGAGCCAGGAACGAGAACGAGAGATAAGACAAACAAAGCAACGACTACGTTCCACGGAAAGATATTGTAGGATTGCACTGAAAGCCCTAACTCTCTCACATATCCAACATCAACGACCAACATTATTTGTGTTCAGCACAGTTTTTAGGACCCTGCTGGAAATCACTAGACCAAAGCTTATCGTTGTGATATGATAATTTGGCGTCTGGCTCCATCTCTAAAAAACTGACGGCCGACAAAGCAGCCGACATAGGCTATCTTTTGTTGTTTTACGGGTACCATCACCGTGTTGTGCTCTAAACAATGAGCGTCAGCACTTCCAACTCTCCCTCTACCTTGGCAATTGGCTGCGCTACCGACAAATGCTCAGGCAGCTATGCTCCACAAACCTTTTTAGACTACAAGTCTCCCTCTCAAAACGACAACCGACCTGAAGCGGGGTGTACTGTGAGGTTTTCACGATTTTCTTTAACCAAATAAGATCTTTGTAGGGCATAGCAATGTTTTAGGTGTTATCTTAGTCCCGTCATATTCACGACTTTAGTGCTTTCAGATGCTGCATAGTGACAACTTTTTTATGGAGAGCGAACTGATACGCGAACAAATTGAAAGAAATAGAAGAATTGCCGATCAACTCTCACCAGTTCGCAAATATATGGTAAGATTTCCTCCTAAATATTATCCATGTGCGCACGGGTCGAGGGAGATAGTCCGTTCATTCGCGTCGCAGTTATACGACGAGACTTTCATCACTCCAGGTTCCTCTAAGTGGTACCAGACAAGTGGAAATGCCGGATACGAAGTTATTAACCAAGCCTTCCATCCCTCC